ATCTAACTYGATGTTACTGTGTTCCTTAAAAACGTACGAACCAGCCTGACAAGAGTCTGACAGCAGCAGTAGGTGTGATTAGGGGTGTGTGCAAACACTTGGTGGAAAGCAGAAATGGCATGGYGCTCAGATCTGTCTTCACATCCAGCTCGTCTCTCCTCATGGACATGAATGTTAGCTCACATCACAGTGAGAGATGCCTCCAGCTACATCTTTCCTGCTGCTCTGCAGTTCTCAGCACAGTCAGGTGCYACAGATGTAAACTGTTCACACTGCTCACAGCTGCCATCTTTATTCTCATTCACACACTTTGAGTCTCCAAACACATTTCTACCAGTTGTGGGCCAAATCTGTACACTGTGGTTCATTTATCCTCATCTCCCCCCTCTAATTACATTTTTGTCTGCATGTCAATGAGTTTGTGTTGTCTTTTTTCTTTGTTATAGAATAGAATAGAAAAGAATAGAATAGAATAGAATAGAATAGACTTTATTGTCCATCTGAGGGAAATTCTGGTGTCACAGCAGTATCAGTACAGAGGTTCACACACTAGTTTACAAACTACAGACAATGCACAAATAATGAAATTAGCACTGACTAGCAATGATACCARTGCTAACAGTAAAAATATATTTTTACTGCCATAATTTCAGTTATTATTTACGTTTTGCATAATGTATATGTTATGTGTTATTTGGACATTTATTATGGAAGTTCTCAGGTAGGAACTATTGTACAACATTTTGGTTTTCCTGGTGCACCTGATAGAGATGCACGTCCATGGTGGAGCATGCATGGCAAGTTCCAGCAAGAAGAACCAATTTAAGTCAGAAGATGTTAAAGAATGCTGAAGATAAGCTGTAAGGTTCTCATTTCTACCTCCAAGCCTGGGTCAACAAGCAAATTATGTTATATTATTTTATGTCTTTTTGACCTTTTTACTACCCCACTGTATTTTATGTTGTATTTTAGTTCGACGGTGGCGTTATATTGTGGACAAGATGATTATGTAACAATACTAAAGTCAAGATTGTTCAACCTTCATTAAAGACAACTTCATGCCATCAGTAAAAAAAACTTTTTGACATTAAGAAAAGGTGGAAGTGATAAATATAATATAATAT